GCAACAGCAGCAAAAGCAAAAGCAACAGCAACAGCAGCAGCAACAGCAGCAACAGCAACAGCAGCAACAGCAGCAACTACTACCACTACCACTACCACTACTACCACTACCACTACCACTGCCACTGCCACTGCCACTTCCACTGCCACTGCCACTGCCACTGCCACTGCCACTACCACTACCACTACTACTCGTCCTCCTGCTGCTGCTGCAGCTGGGCTTGCTCTAAAACCAGCTGCTGCTGCTGCTGCTGCACCACGATTCACAAGGATGCCCGGCCGAAGTGGTGGTAATATTTGTCACAATCGTTATCATGAGCATCATGACGCTCATGATCTTCATTCTTGTGCAGTTTCATCTTCAGTTCTGTTCCAGCCCTTATCTCCAGCGCCATCAGCACTATCAGCACCCTCAGCTCATGTCAGCACCGTCAGCACCATCAGCGCCATCCTTATCCTCATCCCCGTCCTCAGCATTGCCATCATCATCACCACCATCACTACCATCATCATCACCACCACGACCATCATCACCATCGCTATCACCATCACTATCACCATCACCATCACCATCACCGTCACCATCATCACAATCATTATCACAATCATTACTATCATCACCATCGTCATCATCTTCGTCTTCATCACCATCATCAGTTTCATGATTTCATATTCAGCATCATCAGTTTCTTCGCCACCATTACCATCATCGCCATCTGCCGGCATCACCACCATGATCCCCATCATCACAATCACCATCATCATCAATGATGGTGGGCTCAGAATGTTCGGTCTATATTTCGAAACAGACAGTTGCCGGCTGCATGGCCGTCGGGTCATCCAACTTAAGTATGCTTGGCAGTTGCAATGCTGCGAACACCCCAGGGGTGGTGTACTTCATACAAGTATCGCTACCATCATTCCATCCTGGCGCCCCATGCCGTTCATGTGGAGGTCACCCGTCAGACGCTGCCTTTCCGCATCGTCACTGTAGGATGGGTTCAGCAACCACCAAACTGGCCAAAGAAGGAAGACTTGGTAGTGCCCCATGGCTTCCGTCAGTATGCCCCTCAGAACAGCACAAATACAGACTGTCGCAATGCCTCAGTTAGTGCCCAAATTTTTCAGACAGTAAGCTCCATTATCCGAAACCGGAGGCTGTGTAGCCCAATTTTTTGTGGTTGTATAGCTCTTCATGTCCGCCCTTCGTCACTCGACCTGTTCGCCTTCCAATCGAGGTGAAGGCGTCGCCTGGAACGCGGCTTTCGTCCGACGTGGCCGGCGTCTGGACCCTGAGACCCAAAATCGAAACTATACTATAGCTTGCTACCGAAGACTTCGGTCATGTTATGTTCGGGAACGAACCCCCCAAGGAGCTGAGCTCCGAGTTCCTCACGACACAGCGACCTTTGCTGGATCTTGTGGCGAGGCAGGAAGTCATCAGTCAACAACAATTCACAAGAAGTACTGGAAAAGTAGACTGTGCCGGCGTAATTAAGACCCCCGAACACTGCGACGACCACTGAGACCAGGACGACCACGACAACCAAGCGACCGAGGAGACCACAAGGAGACCCCAGCACGCCAGCAAACCACCATGAAACCTCAGGAGACGCCCAGAGGACCCACAGGAGACCCCAGGAGACCACCAGGATCACGGCCAAAATCCCCTTACCTAAGCCAACACAAGACTACCTACCATTTCCAGCATGCGCACCATGCCCTTTACTACCCACCATTGCCCGCCGCTTAAGCCCTAAACTTCCTAAACCCTAAACCCTAAAGCCCTAAACCCCTGAAGCCCCGAACCCCAAAACCCTGAACCCTGAAACCCTAAGCCCAAATCCCTAGAACCCAAAACCCTAAAATCCTGAAGCCTAAACAGCAGAACCCACCATTCCCCACCATGACCCGCAATGACCCGCCGCTGCCCATTACCCAGCCTTACCCACCATTGCACATCAACCCTCAATCTGATTTTCTAAAGACAACATCCAATTTTCAAAAGCGAAAACTCGAAACCCTGCCCTGCCCCCTCGCAAGTGCATTGTCCCTGGCACGTATCATGCATAATTCCATTCCGGTGGTTCAATTCCTCCGCAGAGCAGGCCAGAGTATGCATGATGTCCTGGACCCGCATACTCCGCTTACTTGCCTTAACTTAGAGCACCTTTATTCCCGAGCATCTAGCAGACCTTTCATCTTGACTTTCTAGTGGTGCACACACTCTCCGCTTCGTCATCCTTGCCGTCTCCTTCCCGGCACATGATTCTGTGAAAAATCTTCGAACCTTCGAGTTTTCTTCACGCGATGACTTGGCTGAAATCGATCCTGAAGGCGCCGGAATCGTAGCACCCAAACCCGAAGTTGCCACAGCCGCCTTCAAGAAGGTTGCGGCCTCAGCTGAGCCAAGATCCATTGCGCCATCCCTTCGATGTCGGAATCCGCCTCTTGCCATCGCAGGGAGTTGCAAGGTAGAAGGACTCTTGCGGCTTTGGGGGGTCGTGGTAAGGGGGTCCACCGTAAACTGCAGTCTTTCAAGGCTTTTCTGGGAGGGAGCTGGGGACACAGAAGTCACTGCTACAAACCCTCTGATGGGGAGCTTGCGTTTGAATCCAAGAGCCTTTCAGCCGCTAAGGCCCGGGTCCAGGCTCCGAGGAAGAAAGGCTTTTGCAGGGTAATCTTTAAAAAAAAGAAGCGTCCCTTTCAGGGTACCTTTTTTATATAAGAGTGCCATAATTACTATTTTGGGGACCTAGAAAGGGACCCCAATGCAGAGAACTAGCCATGAGCAAAGTCACAGCTTCCAGCGACTCCCGGCGAATAGGCTGCCTCGGCTGGCGCGGGGCTGTGCCGAGTGTGGCAAATCTGCATGAGACAGGCCGGAGAATGTTTTCATTTCGATTCAGACCTTGGGGGTGCACGTCTGAGTTCTGAGTTCGGGATGTTTAGCTGTTCTCTGTGCAGCATCAAAGACTAAAGCCCCAAAGCCCCTCGTCCGCAAGCTGTACAGGCAAGTATCCCATGATGGATGCCTCGTACCAGTCTGCTACGATTCCGGGACTCTTCTTCGCAGGCGGCTCTTGAGCTTGAACATTTAAGAGAGCTTGAGGACATGACATGTCAGGAAAGACAGGATAAAGAGGAGTGGTCTTTCTGCTTTTTTGGGCTGGTTCCTGAAATTGTAGATGAGGGCATGGCAGGCTGGCTCACCATGTCATGCGCGACTTGCGGAGCTAGACGCCAGACCGTGTTCGGTATCGCGTCGAATCGAAGTGGTGACTCTAGGTATGGTGCAAGATGTTCGTTTCGGGAGCGCTGCGAGTAGAAATCCCAGCGGGACGCGAAGGTTTGTAAGCAAGATCGAATTTGCTACTCACTACTCTTATTGGAGATGACCACCCCAAATGCTCACAAACCTCCAGAAAGTCTGTTGATCTTGCTCACACTCGTTTACAGCCTGCTAAATGCTTTGCTCTAGACCCGTCTTCTGCAACGAGGCGCCCTGAGCCACGGCAGGGACTACCGGCGCTCGGCTGGGGGCTTCATTCATGGTTTCAGGTGCCGGCCAGGTTCAGGGAACAACATCGAAAGGCCCAAACTCGGAAGGCTTACGAGCCAAGCTGGGGTTTGCTGGGCTTGGTTGTATTTGGGTGCATCCGTGAATGCGGCAGGTACACAGCACGTGCTCTCTACCGGATCCTGCGGTACGAGCAGGCAGGTTGGCCGAACGTGTCCTTCGCTTTGGATCAGGACGGCAATCCGAACCATATAGCCAGGCGGTGTCTGACAAAATGAATCAAGCCGTGCAACAGAGGAGCTTTGGATGCGGCAGGCCGGGTCGTGCACTTGATCTTTGAAGAGTCTGGAGTCCTGTGCTCTGTGATGTGGTGATTCAGTACTGACGAATCTGGGAACTCAACGACGAAAGGGGGTGCGTTACGCATGTTTTCGCCAGGTTCCTGCGATGTCTTTCCAAAGGAGCCCATTGTATCAGATCGACCGGAGACCTCCTAAACTGTTGCAGCCTCGAGGGCTTCAGGAACACTCGCCCCGATACCGTCATCAGTATCATTCTTCCTACTGAATCCGAACTTCTACTCCCTGCCTTCATCGCGCAGAGGTACTTCGCCGCATCAATGAAGCGGCAGGCGCGAAGATGCTGGGGGGTGGGTCAGACTACCAGTGAGAAGTGCAAAAGGACTTTATTTTGGACTAGGCTGCAGACCTAAAACCACATGTGGAGCGGGAGTGCTGGATCTTCTGTGAAGTGGAGGGCTGAGGCTGGGCTCAGTCCGAGGATTTCGAGTCTTTCCGAGAGAGGATTCCTCTTGCCCTTGAGAGACCAAGACCCAGTCGAAGAGACGTGAAACCCAAAAGCATCTGTGGAAGAGCCTCAGCCGTTTCCAAACTCCAGGCCCCTACCAGATGTTTGGTGAGCTGGTGGATGTCATGCTCTTCAAGGCCGGGTGGAGGGCCTGAGGATGTCCAGGGTCCAGGACATGACCTTGGGTCAGGGTCAAGAAGTTTGCTCTTCAATGCAAACCGTAATCATGATGCACTCGTGGTCAGAGCAGTGCCGACGTAACAGCCGAAATGCTGCAAGCAGCAATGCAGTGAGCATGGTGAGATATGGCAACCTGAATCACCAAAGCAAGCGGTGCCAACGTTGCACTCAGAAGCAACACAAAGCGCGAGCTAGAACAACAACCTTCAGCATCAGGAGGGTCCAGGTGGCCTGGTCGTAGAGTACCTGGAAGAGGTGCCAATGGCCTATGCCCAGGCCGCTGATATTGTGCACGTCCCATGATCCGATCTGCTTCCTTCAAGTGCTTCTTTCTGGATTAAAGAGGTTTGGAGCAGCGGGATTGTCCAAGGGTGGTAATCGTCCCTACGACAACGAAAGGCTGCATTGGTCTGTACCCCGGAACGGCAGTATCAGGCGGCAGTTGTATGGCCGCAGTGGTTGCAGCAGCTGTCGTGGGTTCCGCGGCCAAGCCAGAATAGACTCGAATAGACCATGTCTAGAAGCGTCTCACATTCCCAGTGCAGCGACGCGCGCCTTCTTGGTTGGACCTAGAGTCCCAGAGCAAACAAATTTGTGTGAAGCTCCCTGGACTTTGTCGCCAGGAGAAAAGCGAATTCCGCAGCAGTCCACGCCTCCTGGCCCAACTGGATTACTAAGCACCTGCCCTGTTCCTGGAAATCACGGAAGTCTCCAATCCCAATCCCACACACACCATCGGACCCGGATGCAGTCCAAGTTTCCCGCACCTGGTCTATGAAGACAGCATGCTTCATTACGTTCCAGAGGAAATGTGGCCCAGGGCCTGGGAAGCCTCAAGCTTGCCTGTATACTGAGCATCAACCTGCTCCAGCTAGGAGCTTGCCGAGTCTAACCCTAAAGTAACTCAAAACGGGCCGGCGAACCCTAAACCGCTGGCTTTGGGTGATCGTCGAGCGAATTGATCATGTCATGGGAGGTCTCAGCCCTCGAAACGTTTGGAGTAGCTTTGAACCCCGATGTAGGCTTGATCCTCAGCTTCGTCTACGGCCGCCTGGCTTTTGCTGATATAACATTTAACATACTTAATATTTCATTTTTAATATGCCACAGTTCATCGCAGCTCATTGTAACATGTTATAGCATATTATAATATTTGTGTATTACATTGTGTTACTATATACTGAATATTTTGCAACATGACATGTTACAATATGTTATCACGAAACATTATACAATCAAGTGGAATACACTCACGTGTGAATTCGACCTGATATGACATGATGTGATGTGATATGCCATGCTATGCTATGTGATATGGTGTGATGTTATGTGATGTAATTTGGTATGCACAATAAGCATCACTACAAATAATCTGGAATCTCATGCAGTCAGGATGTTTGGCGCCAGCATCAACAGTCAAAGTCGAACCGCAATGAGTGCCAAGCTAAATAAAAGCCTGAAGCTCGAGACACCGCCCGGTGGCCGAACGAGATTCGAAAGCTCAGGGGCCATAGCCATCCGAACCCAGGAGTCCCAAGCAAACTGCAGCAACAACCCTATTAACTATTAACAGATTCACACATTTCATAACACATTGTCATCTATTTACAGATTTGATATTACGATATTGTTACACTTTGTAATATACCGTAATATACTGTAATGTATTGTAATAAGTTTGAATGTACTGTAACATACTGTGATATATCATCATATAGCACACGACTCGTATAATATAGTACCACTTGGCATACTGTGATAAAACATATCAGAATATAACATAACGCATCTTGTATCATAATATAGTGTAATGTTATATGGTATGGACATATCCTAATGCACATAAAATTACATTGTATGTACAGTATATGTAGCTGATAATACTTAGTGTACAGAAGACTGAAGAAATACATACGTACATACATACATGCATACATACATACATGCATACATTACATCTACATTTTCATTTAGTTACATCACATTACATTTCATTACATTACATTATATTACGTTACATACATTCATATTCACATGCATATTCATGTCGCATGATGGTTGAAAACGTTATTCTTTCCCACATATGTATATATCAAAATATCTCATGTGCTACGGCTCGCATTGTACATACCTATAAGCTTATGTATGAAATTATGTTGCAGAATCTGTACTCCAACTTTTTGTAGTGCAGTATACTCTACTCTATTCGTTTCTACATCATATATCGCTTCGTATTTCGTGTTATTACACAATATCATGTAATACTGCTTCTGTCATACTGCGCAGTGTTGTATCATATTGCATTCTGTGCATTCGGCATGCTGACACGGCTGTTGACACGGGTGTGCGTGTGTCTTCACATATGCATTCTCGTGCAGACGTATATCTGGGTGCATATGTCCATGTTATCTATGTTTACATCTATGTATATGTATCGGCACCTGTATCTGTATATGCATGTGCAAACTTGTATCACATGCGCCAAACTCTCCGGGAGTGTTGACCGAGAAGCCGAGGCCGTCAGTTCAGCCCCGGGGACCTTCCGAGCCCCGGCGCCGTGGGTCGGGTCCTCTGAAAGGGGCAGTGCATAGGCGAGCAGTGGGTTTCATAAAAAAAATTTGCGAACTTACGGAGATGATGCCATGAAGCAGAGGGTCCGCGATATGTGTTCGCTTACACGTGTATGTATGTAGGTACGTACATATGTATGGACACAGTTATATATATATATAAACATATATTTCTATATGTTTTTATGTTTACATATGTATGTATGTATGTATATATGTATGTATGTATGTATGTATGTATGTATTTATGTATGCACGTATGTACGTATGTATGTACATATGTATGTACGTATGTATGTACGTATGTATGTATGTATATATATATATGTATGTGTATATGTATGTGTATACGTATATGTATGTGTATGTGTATGTGTATATGTATGTGTATATGTATGTGTATACGTATATGTATATGTACATGTACATGTATATGCATGTATATGTACCTGTATATATATGTATATGCATAGATCAAGAAAGATACCGCTGAAATCTATTGATTTGAAACGTGGTGTTTCTACTGATTTTATGGAGAATTTCTGTTGATGTTCTGGAGCATTTCTATTGTGTTTATGGAGAGTTTCTATTGATTTTATGGAAATTTCTATTGATTTTATGGAAAAANNTATATATATATATACACACAGGTGTGTGCATTCATTTTCTGAATTTTTATATGTATGTAGCCTTCATATGTATGGCTATGTCTGAATGCTGCAGGCATGTATGTACACAGGTGTCCAATCTTACAGACTGCTCGTGATACATTCTGTCTCAATATTCGAAACATGTAAAATGTTGTGAAAGCGGGTGGACATTGATGGCCAGTTGGATAGAGAGGCAGGTTGATGAATGAACAGCGATCGACATTCAGACAGTTGGAGTAGACTGAGGATGTCGGAGGATGCAGACTTGCCTGGGATGTTCCTAGAGTGAGCATCGTCAATGATTATCATTGATAACCATGTCAATGCACATGTCTTAAGCCTGCAAATTCTGCGGAGATGGCTGTCAGGGTCCATGGTCGCAAGAGGGAAGATGACATTTGGTCGCCATGCTAGTTGCGTTCAAGCAACACACGTGAACAGCTTCTCATAATATACTTGTAGCGCATTGCCAAAACAATCTCGTGAGTCTTGCACAGGCCGGCTCAAGCTATTCCAACAAATCAATAACAAAAGGTGCAAAGCAAGAATAAAAGCTTCTCCAACTCCACGGGACACAAATCCAAATGACACAGGCCTCGGTTGTCCATGGGTGGACATGTCCATACGTGTAGAAAGGACATTTCTTGCTCTTGATGCATGTCGTCCGTGTGTGTGCAAGGGACCTTCGATGCTCTTGATGCAAAGTAGGCCCTTTTCGGCCCTTTCCGCGGGGCACTTATCTGCTCCACGGTGGTTTGCAATGTGCCTAGAATTCTTCAGAGCACTGTGAAGGCCCCAGAAGTGATCCCCATGTTGCTGTTTGTGGCAGACGATGTAATGTTGGGGTTGTTATAACCCCCCCCCCCCCCCCCCCC